TTGGTAACAATTGTTTTGTTTTTACTACACGTCTTATTTCTTCTGCTTAAAAAGTTTGGTAAACAATTGTCTTGAAAGGGGGTAATTCTGATGGTGTGGGGGAACCAGGGACGATAAAAACGACGCACGTGAAAACTGAGTTAGACTAAGCAAAGGACGAGGAAGAAGACGCTGTGGGCGTGGTGAAGTTGGGGAAAACTTGAAAACGAAGAGCGCAAGGCATGAGATGGATATAATGAAAAAACAAAGACGACGACGGGAAGGGAAGATGACACACGCTCGTGATACGTGAGAGAAGGGCGGGCACGACACGGAACCCGGTTGGACAGCGGCAGAGCCGTATATTGGGAGAGTTTGGCCAGTGGGTGTGTCGACGAAGGCGCCGGAGAGGAGAAAAGTAAATGAAAGGGAGGAGAGCGCCGAAGGAGCGAGAGAGAGAAAGAAGGGAGCAGAGAGGAGACGACCGCCATTTTTGAGCAACGCTGTCGGAGACTGCTCGGAGAAGAGCACTGCTGAGGCTACGCGTCGTCTGCTACGGGCCGACTTCTTTTTTGCCTGAATAAAAGTTTGCGGCCATACGCCGAAACATCTTCATTTATTAGCTTTTTAACCCACAGAGGAATAACAGAATGTCATATTCTTGCCAGAGCCAGCGATATATAAGGCAATAATCGAGATTTAGATGCCGATCCCACGCATTCCGCCGGGAGAATGATCGAAGATGGTGGCCCTCCCCACTTAGGTGGGAGCAGCCGGGAGTTCACGCGCATGCGCTCATGCCTCTCGCTCTACGCCGCTTGCTGATTGGCTCACTTGGGAGGAGAGCGTTACGGCGGCGAGATCATAGACTGACCAAACTTTCCCGATATACGGCTCTGGACAGCGGTAGTCCCTGCAGCCAAGAAAGAGCCCGGACAGACGAGTCCAGGCCCGTGGAGCTTTTACTTAAGCTTGCTGGGAAACCTCCGCCTGTGCCTAGCGGGCCTGCCGAGCATTTCCAGGACAAGACTAACGCCATGCCAACGCCGACGTGCAACACCGTGACGTAAGCGGATTCGTCGAACTGACCTTTGTGTATATATCCACACCGTTTTCTTCTTCTAACTTATTTTTCATACGACTGTAAATAATGTCTATCTTCTTATATTTACTACTCAGGAATTTCCAGTCCCTTTAATTATTTTTTTATCACACCCGGACGATTGATGTTCTAAGTATATAGTATGCACCTCGAAAGATTAACGACCTAACATACGGAAAGTTTCGGTACCTTCTCAAAAAACTGCAGCAAAATATTAAGTTGGGCTAGTTGGTCTTTGATCTGAACTGAACGCCTAAAAAATGGAGACAAAAGGAAGAGACAACACGTTGGCGTATTCGCAACTGAAAGTTTAATTTGAAAACGCACGCATTTATTTACGGTTCGTGACACAGCACGTAAATTACCCTTGACCCAGTACTACTGCAAAACCAAAATTCTTTGTCAAAAGGGCCAATGATGCCTTGCTTACACACTTGCTTTTTCCTTTCGTTTTTGTTTCAAAAGTTTTCTGTATCTCTCTTTTTTTTTTTTTTTCCTGTCTTCCGAGTATCTTAATCACCGAAAAAGTGGAGTGCAATCACATCTTTACAACCCCGCTCAAAGAGAGCTGTGCTGCATACAACTCGGCCCACTCCCAACTGGTAAAAATAGGCATTACAACTTCCGGTCTCGGATCCTCTTTGACGAAATCAAGCCTTTGTCAAATAGCAAACAGCCTCCAGAGACAGGTCGACCGACACTTAAGTGCGGCGTTCCCCCACCAGATGTTGAATTACGTTGCAGAAGACCTAAGAAAGAAGCTCATCGGCTCCGAGAAAGACACCCGAGAGCGCTTGAGGAAAAGGCCGGCATTCATTCCTTACATACATGTTTTATGTCACAACATAAAAAAAAAAAAAAAGAAAAACGTTGCTGAACGCTATGATGCCTCAGTAGTTTTTTGTACTCTAAAGAAGTTATCTGGTTTGTGCCGAAAAATAACTGCCCCTCTTTTGGGGAGCGAGGGCTGCAGGAAAAAGCACAAAAGCAAATTTGTGGAATGCTCCACGTGTGTGGTGTATAAAATTCAACTTTCATGCGGTCGCTTTGACGTGAACCAAACTGGGTGGTGCGTTAATGATCGCGTAAGGGAGCATGCCGCTGCCAGTAAACAGTCACCCTCAGGCCACTTAGCAGTGCATTGTAATAAATGTGATTGCCTTCCTCTTTTTTCGGACAGTAAGATCCTCAGAACGCATAGTAATAAAACAACAAGAGTGATGCAGGAAGCCTTTGAAATAAAAACAAGCGACACAACAGAGTGTGTCAGCGGGCCATCATTAACCCTTCCTAATGAGGAATTTGTATTTTTGCAGAAAGAGTTGGGGCAAGAAAGATTGACATGCTGCGTCACGAATCTTATACAAGTGTGTGTTTTCAAATTAAACTTTCAGTTGCGAGTACGCCAACATGTTGCATCTTTTCCATCTTGTCCATGTTTTTTAGGCGCTATGTTCAGATGGTCTCAAAAAACACTACGCTCCCTGACAAAATGAAATTCGCGCAAAGTTACTAATTGTTCACTCGTCAACAGCAAGAAAAGGAATCAGTACAAGTTTTCATTGTTGTACTGCGAAGAACAGCTTGCTCTTACAAGTGCATTTTCAACGTCAGCCTAGACTGAAGGCTAAACGACCTTACTATTTGTGTAGTGTGGAATCAGACGGTTCAGCGGCAGTTATTATCAAAGCGAGATATAACACGGCAAGAGCCTGAAGATTTGTCGGTCGCGGCCGAGGTAGCCACCAAAGAGGTGAAGAATATGAAAGAGAACAAGGTGAGGAACGAAGCGGAGTTACACAGAATGTCGTGAATGTCAGCTGATCAAGAAAGAAGATGAATGCGAGCGGTGGGGGAATAGAGCATTTACGGGATGCGTGCCGCCGCAAGTTTGCAAAGTGCTTCAGATGCGACCGACAAGGGGATTTTGCAAAAAAAGTGCGGAGATAAAAACAAAAATTCCGACAACCGGACAACGGAACACAGCGGTTGCAGCCATAGCGGAAGCAGAAAGGGAAGCAGTGGATTTGTCTTTTGTGCACGTGGTGCACTCCCGTAAAAAGGCAAAGCTCAAGCGTTTTGTCGAGTGACCAAGTGCTCGACTTGCATCGGCGCCGGCAATTTTACAAAGACAAATGGAGAACATGCTGGCAAGTCTGGATAGAGTACAGGTGTACTTACACGATGTTCTGGTAGTGGAGCAACAGGGAGCAAGGATCTTAAGGTGGATGCTACGGCGTTTCCTTTCATGGAAACGCCGCGGTGTGCTCTACTGGGGACGAAGCCTCGTGATCCCGACCAAGGCCCGCCAGGAGATGATGAGTCTGCAACACGAATACCACCAGGGGGTCATAGCCATGAAGAGGAAGGCTCGGTTATCGTTTTAGTGGCCCGGACTTGACAGTGAGGTGGAACTACACAGCAGAAGCTGTCAAGGCTGCACACAAGCCGCCCCGATGCCTCCCAAGTGCTCACCGATTTGATTGGCTAGAAACAAAAGAAAGGTGACCAGAGCGCAAAGTTATTTTGAAGGGCACATTGATGACAAAATGCGGTTAATTGTCATTGACTCACACTCAATGTGGACGGAAGCTTTTATTACGCGAACCGCTAATGCCGAAGTGACTATGTAGCAACTTTGAAAACCGTTTAGCGGATTTAGACTCCCAAGAAGCCTCATTTCAGTTATCGGTCCCTTCTTTATTAGCCAGCCCTCCGGAAATGTTGTAAAACAAAAACAATATATACCACCTACGCTGTGCACCATATCACCCCCAATCTAACGGGCCAGCTGAACGCGCGGTTAGACCGATAAAGAACCACCTAGAAAGGATAAAAAATGAAGATTTGGAACAGAGGCTGGAAACAATTCCTAATCAACTATCGCAGGACACGCCATCCTTGAAGCAAATTCCCGGGGGAACTTCTTTTAGGGTACCGAATTCTGCCACGCTTAGATATGTGTGTACCATCACGCCAGTGTTTTACGACAAAATGGAGGAAGAAGGAGAATCCGGGGACCTCAAAGCTGAAGTATGGGTCGGAAACTTTGGTAAACGCGAAAAATGGTCAACCGGCACAGTCACGTAGCAACCTAGGCTCAGTGACGCTAGTAATTGACAAACCAGGAAGAACGGTTTGTCGACATCGGGACCAGGTTCACTCAGGACGAGGCCCGGTGGAAACCTAGGGGGTCAGCTAGGACGGCTCGATAGGCTTTCTAACCTCGAGCCGGGGGCAATCACAAGCGGACACAGATTCGGCAAGGCAGCCAGAGGCTCCAGACGCCGGCGGTCAAGAACTACCAACAATACCTTTGTTGTCGCGAACCCGTAGCCCAATCTAATGATTTTAATATTAAAAGAAGGAATGTTTCAGCGTCATCGTCCCGGTGGAAACCGTCAATCTTACTTGCTGTTGCTGATACCAATTCAAATGTTACTTGTTATCAAGCAGATCACCCCGCTCACCGTTATTACGCCCCAAGCACGGGCTATGTCTTAAGGGGCTCGAGGCAATAAACTGGGGATGCACCTGCCACTGACCAGCGTGGTTGACTCCCTGCTCGTAGCGCAGACTGCGCGCTCGACTCAGTGACAAACAGCTACGAAGTCGTAACAAAGTAAACAAAGTAAAAGACATAATGATCACTTCTAAAAATGCTATTTCAACTTTTGTATTTTGACATACTATTGACTACTTATAAGTATAAAAATTTAATCAGCATTTGATTGAAATTGAGTAATTGTGCGTACTAATAGAACTCCGAATTTGTGTACGAAGGCTTTTCGTGGCTTAGTGTACCGCAAATCGTTTAATCACACTTTCAAACACGATTCGGTCTATCTTGTTTGCACATAAAAAATAGCTGATAATTTTAAACGAGACAATTTATCTTCATGTTGACTTTTTTACGCAGGCTTGGGAGCACGCATGATAGCAAAGGTCCACTTTTCGAGGGTCATCCAGGTGCTTTAGCCTGCAAGCCACCACCAAGCCACTTTATGGGCATTACGTCTGGACCGCCTTTCACGTTTTCTAATTGCAGTGAAAAAGAAATGGAATATGTATTAAAGTTAGTATTGCTTCGTATGATCCTAAGCGCTGCCATTTGTAGAATATAGACCAACTCATGTTTAGAAACAAACCGGAGCGCCCCCAGCGGATGCCACCGGCACCGCACCGCGCATTGCCGGTGGACTGTGGGCAAGAAGTTAGCCGTCGCCCACAAACAAACCATTGGAATGCGGTGTTGTCGACGTCGGTGTGTGTTCCCCTGCTCTGTTTTGTCTAAGAATCATTGATTCAACGTCTTACTAGCTCTATTTGATTGATTTAGCTCTCTCGGCGAAATTAACGAGGCTCGTTGCACGTCAAAACTTCATGTGAACATAGTGACGTGTGGCGATTCATTTCGCGTGGACGCTGCATAATGTAAGCTTAAGACTGATTCGCATTATTCGCTATTTTTAGTCATGAGGTCGCTCGGGTTGCAAAAGCGTGAACCAGGTGGTCGACGTCGATACGGAAAATCGCAAGCAGAATTGAAAAACACGATCAGGCATAAGAACAGTCCCTGTATAGGCTCTCTACGGGAGCCAGAGTTGGGCGTCTTTTTTCCACATACCGCCGCGCATCTATTCGCCGAGATTCATTCACGTGAGGAGCCTGATCAAAGTCGTGCAGGAAAGCAGATGTTGAGCGCGCCGCCGTACGTTCCCCTGCTTTTGAACGTGGTCCGCGTCTCGAACGCGCAGCGCCACTATTCGTCGAATTCACTCACGTGAGGAGCAGGATCAACATGCTGTGCAGGAAAGACGGCACTACGTGGATTAACGCACAACCCTGGCTCCCATAGGGAGCCTATACAGGGAGTCTAGGCATAAAACGTCGGTGATATCCCCTGATAACAATCATCAACATCTCCTCCTATCTATTGTTTAAACCAAGCCTACTTACCCCAACAAAAACTTTAAATCTAAAAGTCTATTGAGGCCTCGACTTACTTCTCATTGAAATTACCGGGTCCGCCTTTAATTCACGAACGTCTTTCATGTTAAAGAGCAGCCGACAAGAACCAGAAACCTCTGAAAAAGCAGACGATAGTTCGAACGATCAGGCGGCCGCTTGTTCTTACAGACACTCTGAACGCAGTCTACAGGTGGTTTGTATAACTTGGTGGTTTTCCGGCGTTCATGTTGGAAAAAATAACAAATAAATCTGATGACCATAACTATCCGTGAATTTAACCCACAGTGCCTCCCGCACAAGCGATCGTTGCCCGACGGCGTCTGGGTTTCCTTTTCACTGCCCCTGTTCACGTTCTCGGACAAACCGTGCAGGCGGAAAATACTCTAATAGCGAGTTCGTTTCACGGCACTCGTGCCCACGCGTGCCCACGCGTGCCCACTCGCAGCGTGGAACGGGTTCGTTTCGGCTGGCGCTCCACGAGTGGTTGCACTCTCCGAGTTCGTTTCAGCGCTGACACCCCACGCGTGCATGCACTCGCTGCACCGAGAAAATCGGGAGTGCGCCAAATTGCAATCCCGTCATGCCTCGCTTCGGCGGGGCCGGCGAGGAGCGGGAGCAGACGACGAGGGTTCGTGATTATAATGCAATTAAATGCAAAGGTGCAAGCGAGCTGGACAAAAATGACGAAAATAATCCCTGGAGAAGGGGAACAAGGGGGACAAAGGACAAACATAAATCTCCAAACACAGCTTCGTCTGTTACGATGTGTCGCGGAACCGAACGGAAAAAAAAAGTAGATTTTCTGATAGAAATTGCGTACCGCGGGCAACGAAATCAAACGCGAGCTTGAATTGTGAGCGTCTGCTATTTCACGAAAGAATCAATTGACAACCCGTGATTTATTTGCAGGTTTTAAATCGCTCTGTTGCCGTTCAAACGCTGAAATATACCTGTGTGTAAAGAAATGCTCGGAACAAACGCAACAGCGGCCCCCGAGAAGTCCATCACCATCCGCGTGCGGGTGAAAAATTTAACATTTGCCGATAAAACTCCCCCACCAGAAACCTCTGACTTCCCAATAAGCATCAGAGAAAGCTAAAGATGGTGACTTTATCCGAGGATTGGGCAACATCATCATGTTTAACATTTACCTACGCAGCTAACTTGCCCCGTCGAATTTTGTTCGAGAAAGCTCCCGTTCTCGACGCCCTCACCAAGGCTAATATCTAATTCTCCTATGATGACGATCCAAATCGAAAGTCCCAGTTTTGCTGGATATTCCAACAGTTTTAAGCCGTAGCCTTTCAGTGGTTCACGCATAATACCATGCTCAAACGGATCAAGCTTCTGCTCGGACAGCATCATCCGTTTTCTTCAGTGTAAACGGTTATAAGGATTGAAAGATCGCAACCAGCTGCTTTGTAGACAGCTGGTTGCGGATATTTACGCCGTCTGTAACTATCTCTTCGGCAGCCGAGCTGTTTGAAGACATCGCAACTGTAAACTACAGGTTGCAGTTGCCAACGTTTGTAGATAAACGTTGGTAGCGACTGCAGTCTCGCATTCCCACGCATCACTCGGAACAGAAAGGCGCTAGTTTCGGTTTGAAGTCGGTACCTTTTCTACAACATAGATGGCGGCAGCATCAGTCTTCTGCACTCGGTGCATTTGGCGAGTTCGTTTGAGTCCAGTTTTCCGTGCAACACTCTGTGAGTGCGATGCATTCTGGGAGAGAACTCGAACGGTGCCAGTGCGTGTGAAACGAACTCGCTATTAGACGGACCTTCAAACCTTTCCCGACTCTTTTTGGTCTTTGTCTGGTTTCTTCCGAAACAGCACAGGAAAGCACGTCCCACATGGTGACTTCCGCCCAGAACCCCAGACCGGAAGCGCGCCCGACGCGCCAGAACCGCGCCGTGACGTAACAAAGCTGAGTTCGTGTATAGCCGTTCTAGATAGAAAGTCCTATGCACACTTCTCAGTGGCTTTGCAGCTTAGCCTCGAACCTCGCGCCGAGCTGAAACGCGCTTATTCTACAACAGGGACGTTCTCTTCTGGCATTACCATGTTGCCAGCTGTCTCTCACCAAACCAGACGCCGCTGAGCGTTGAAGTGTTGTCCAAACTGATTGATATACCATACATCCGGTATATTCGGTTACAGGAGAACATAATGCATTAAACAAAATTTAAAAAAGAAAACGGAACAATTCACGATAACTGCCAAAAGAGCGCATCTAAGAGTTCGGCAACGGCTTTTTCCATACCTTCACTACCACCATTCAGTATTTTTTCGCAATGAGCAAATCGTCAGCCACCAAGATACACATCTCGCTGACGTCTCTTTTGATCGGTGCATAGTGATTTTCCGCAAGAGGAAAAGGACATGATGGACAAACAAAATAAAAGACCTTTATCCGAGTAGGCCCAGCAGTCGAGCATCTGGTTCAGCCCTCACGCTCCCTCCTGGCACGCCCTCGGCCGCGCCATCTTCTTTCTCTTCCACATGCGCCGCACACGTCACATAAATCGTCATGGCTGCTGTTTTTCCTGGTTGATCCACATACGCCCACACCCATGGAGTGCTTAGACTTGGCTTGAATGTTAGGCTGCACCAGCATCGCTCAAAATTGTAGAGCACGGGAACTTCTCTTTAAAAACGTCAATAGCTTAGACGTGCGGGAACTCCTCCGATGAGCTTGGGGAGTACAGTTTCTCCTTTGTAATGCTACTCACATGAATGCCGGTTGTTAAATTGAGTAAGGAGAGTTTCAGGATGAAATGAAGAGGAATCTAAGGATGAACGGCATTTATATTTTTTAAGAATACACAAAGTAATTTCTTGAAAACAATGATAGCTGCAGTGCAAGTTTTATTATTGGCGTTGCATCTCGTTCTATAGTTTAATGGATACGGATATAATTAGCATACCAATAAAGTTATAAACGTTTAATCGAATGCATTGCACGAAATGTCGTCCTTTGTTTTTAATAACTCGATGTACGTTTGTTACATAAACCTTAAGCCGTATACTAATAAACAGATCCCTTACCCAACCAGTCATGAGATAAGAAAGTAGAAAATTATCCACAAATAGAGGTCCCCCGTTTCACTTTAGAAATAAAGCATAGCGTAGAAGGGTGCTGTCTTCTCTACAAACGCGGAAGTGTCGCCAAATGACGGTAAATAGGGAACTGATACGACCATAAACTGCACATATGCAAGGCGTTGTGCACTTAGCGTTTTTGTGTAATGAAATACGTACTAATAAGCGAACTTTACTGCAGGCTGCGTGGAAAGGACTGCTGGAAGACGCAATCCTACAACGACTTTTTCAATGCGACTAAGGAAGTCGCGGGCTCAACAATTACACCGGAGACGTTCTGCCACCGCATTAATCCGGAGCAGCCTGTTTCAGCAGTAAGTAGCATTTGGTTTTTGTTATACATTTAATAAAAAACGTTAAAAATGATAATGTAGAAAGGTTAACATAAACACAGCTGTCATAAACGACAAGAAACCTTCCAAAAATCTTTACATTACAATTTGACTTTCATAAATTATTATGCGACTTCCTTCCGTCGACAGTTGCCATATTACTATAAATATTACATGCAGCTTAATGTGTAAGATTCAGCACTCGGTCCTTGTTTTTCACTTTTTTTTCTCGACGTGGGCAATCTCAGTCTAAACACCGTAAATTAGTGTCTATTTTAATGCGAAGAGTGTTCTTCGTTGCTGTTGTCTGTAGTGGTTTTATTTTATTTTGAAACAAAAATTGGTGGTTATACCTTTATGCCTACTTCATCATCAATTGATAACGGCTTTCTTTTTGAAGGCCTCGCCCTCCATATTTGCTACAATCTGTGTGTGTGCGCTGTTGAGATATTAAAACACTCGCTATTGACAGCAGTGTGACCGCGTTTTCCTCCTTATTGAAGGAAGTAATCATATTATTGAAAATAAATGTTCACATAGAGTAAATCATAAACTCTAGTTACTTTTTCCTTACAAACGACTTCAGGAGACGGAGAACTGCTTCATAATATGCATAAGAAAAGGAAAAAGTATCAAACGTTACCCGGCCCCATTCGGCTACCCTTGCGGAGATGGAAAGGTAGGGAAGTCAATTAACATATCTGCTCGTGTCGAAACTGTTCGGGAACAAGTATACTTCCAATAGGTAGAAAGAAGGAAGGAAGAAAACACTATTTTCAATTAAACGGCAACTTTAGTCCGGGTCGCTTGAAAAGGCTGCAAGGGCAGCCTCCGTGTGGCCGGCCAGGGTGAATTGGTTTTCGGCTCCGCAACTAGCCAGCCCGTCGCTAAATGATATGGGAGTGGCTGCAGGTAACGAGGGGAGTGTGCGTGTATGTAAGCACGACCACAGCACGTGCTGTATGTTCGAGTAATCTACGGTGTGTATTCATGAGCTGTACCCTGTGCATTGTGGAATTTGGGTGTGAGGTATGGGGTTAGGAGAGTTTTTGCCTGGATTTGTCTTATGAGCCCTTGTATCTATTGAGGCTTTTGTGGGGTTTAGGGTGTTTTCCTACTATCTCTAGGTTTTCAAAGGAATGTTTGCGGTAGTAAAAGGATTGTGTGTTTCGGTGTAGTTTCCGGGGTCGCGCACGGGTTGTTAGGTGCCCGCAACTTGTGAGCTTGGGCGATCTCATTTGCGCGCTCAATGCCTGGCAGACCCTCATGTCCGTGGACCCAGAGAATATAAAACTTAGTGTGTGTGCGTTGCTTTTAAAAGAACCGGTTACGTGAGAGGCTGTATTATTAGAGAGTTTGTTTAAAGGCAGCCTCTGCAGGCTGCTTGCGAGTCCGTTGGGATGATGGATTATTGGGTTCAATTATCTGGAGTCTAGGCATCTATTGCGATAGCCAGAGCGATTGCAGTTATTTCTGCTTGGGATGGGGTGAAATTCAGAGATTGGGGTGATGAAAACCCTGGATAGCTTTTTGTCTACAGCTGCCACTTGCGCCAAAAGGGAGTCCGGTGCGAGAATAGCATCGACGTAGAGTACTCATTGATCATGGGCTGTCTTTTCGATGGCCCTTGAGGACCTTGTGGGTTGCTTTGACATGTACTTGGCTTCTTTTTTTTTTTTCTTGGGTGGGGGGGGGGGTTGCCTTTCAGTGTTTATGATAGTTGGTATTGGTAATACCTTAATTCTTCCCTGTGTAGGGAGCGGATAGTGGCGTCGAACGTTTCTTGAGTTTCATCTCCCTTTTTACAGCCCAGGGTTCGTAAGATGGTACGCCCCTGGATTGTGTTTTATATACGTCTGAATTTTCCAATCTTCTGGTCCATCAGGCGTTGTTCTAGTGTATTCTGTGTGCCTGTGTCACCTAGAGCTTGTTGGTTGGTTTATATAGGGAAACCTAATGCCAGTTTGCTGACTTTTCACAGCTGTACTTGTACTTTGTTTAATTCTGTTTTGGTGAAGTTTAAGTATAAAATATGGTACATTAAGCGGGAGATGGCAAGAGCCTCATTTAAATGCAGAAGGTCCGTTTCTTTTAGTATTTTGTACCTGTTGGAGGTGCGTTTGATGACTTCAATTATTTTGGTTGGTCTGGTCGATAAGTTTGCCTAAAGTGAAACGGGCTCGCCCATTGTTCTGTGCAGTTTTTCCCGGGATCTTAACGGAGCTTTTCTGAGGAATTGTCTTGTCGTTGTTGTTGTTGGGCGTTGTTGTTGGGGTTGTTGTTTGGCGTTGTGTTTGGTGACGACTGTGCGTTCAGATTATTCGTTTAGCAGGAGAGTACTTTATTTTGTGCATAGCGTGGCGTTATATCAGCTGTAATGTGCAGTGTTTCTTTTATATCTCCGTGTGTACATTTATTTGTCCAAAGTGTGATGCCATCGGCGTAGATGGAGTGCCGCAGGTTGGGGATGGCATTCCCATCCTTGGGTAGGTGCATCATGCTCAGATTGAAGAGTGTTGGCGATCGAATTAAGCCTTGTGGGACACCCCTGTTGATAGAAATTGGAAATGCTGTCTCCTTCAAGCGTACTAAATGTCCGTTTGGCTGAGCGTGCCTGCAAGAAGCTTTTGGTTTAGATGTACAATTTACTTCCACAGTTTGTGCTTTTAGGACTCGAAGGTTGGCATTATGTTCCGAGTTATCAAAATACTTGGAGGAACCCTGGTTGCTTGATCCATGTCGAAATTTCGCAGCATAAAAATCGCATTACGCACTGAAACAATTTACACCACTAATCAGCTTTCCCTAAGGCGAAAACTATTAGGTTTTATCAGAACACATTTCTCGTGCTGGTGAACACCCCAAAAATAATATGCTGGCGATCTTAACAGCCCCGTAGGGATAGCTGTTTAGCAGCAACATGGTTACAAGATTTTACAAACCACAGGCAGCTTTTAAGTGCATGAAAAAGCCTATAGAGTCGAAGTCAATCGCACACGAGGAAGGAATCACGAGAATGTGTATTTTTTTTACCACCTCTTATACTTGACAATTTAAAGGCTTTCATTCCCAGGTCTCTGCAATTAGAAGGTTATGCCCGAGTCCAAATAAAGCGACAACCATAAACAGCCGACACCGACCAGCCTCAAATACGTGCATCATGTACGCGAAGGCACCTTTTGACAGGCTTGCAATCCATCGTGCTTACTTTATGAGCACCGAAAGTCTGCAAGCCTGCCAAAGGTACCCTCGCGTGCGTGCAGCGCGATTTTGAGTCTTGTCGGTGTCGGTTGTTTCTATTTGTCGCTCTGGTGGGACTCGGGCATTCCAAGTCTGTTGCCTTGTTCTGGTCAATATTTCACAGAAAGCAATATATATCTAAGCTCAATTAACGTATCTCCATGAAAAAAAAATCGTACAGTCAATACTTATTCAACCTACTCGCTAAAATAACCATCCCTAAAGTTGTTTTTGAAGTGCGAACATCCTTCAAAAAGGGGGTTCGCCTCACTTTATCCTCGCACACACCCTCTTCACACCCTTAAATATATAAAGGCTGCTCTCTGCAGCAGTACCCTATTTGTATAAAAAATAAGTGTATCACTAGGGTGCTGAGAGGATGTAGCCATAGAGGACTCTTAAATGCAGGAGGGGATTTTAATATAGATATGGGTAATAATAGCCTGTCAGCCAGAGATTTTGACGCACTTATATTATCAAATGGTTTCATTAATGCGATTAACGTACCAACAAGAGTCACAGCGGAATGTCTATCCGTCCTTGATCTGTTCATTACAAACTGTGTGCAATCAAATTCTGAAGCAAGAGCTATATCGTGTTGCACTAGTGACCATCTTCCTGTGCTTCTTTACGTTGAAAAAAAAATGGGCCAGCAGTAAACAAATTATCCAAAATACTTTAACAATCAATTACAGAGACAGCACTTAATGGGTTCCGGGATGCAATTGTGCATACAAATTGGAGCTATATAAGCAATTTAAAAGAGCCAAACTAGATTCGTAATACCATTTTGAACAGTTTTAAACATTTATATTGTACTCACTTCCCTGTAAAATTGCGTAGGCTAACTCGAAAAATTCGTAAGCCGTGGATCACGCCAGAATTACAGAAGAAAATCAAAATAAGAGATAACTTGTGTGAGAAATTTTTAAATACTCGCACATTCTATGATTCGACCATTTTCAAGCAGTATCGAAACAAAATAGCAAAAAAACTACGATGTGCGCGAACGGAATATCACTCCTCATTTATAAACGATAAGAACTGTAGGCGTGACGTGATGTGGTCTAGATTAAATACAGTCCTGTCCATCACGGTCCCTCACATGCCCCTCTTTCAATACTGCAAGTCAGTAGAAAAGAATTATCCGGAAGAGAATTAGCTGAGGCATTTAATGATTTCATTGCAAGTATGACTGTCGGCGATGGCTCGCCTGGCACATGTTGCGATTATGTAAATATACAAAATAACAGATCTATGTGTTTGCATCTTGTTGCCAAGGAAGAGGTGATAACAGTAATCAAAATATTAAAAAAAAAGCCGCAATAGCTGCGATATTGACGGTTTACAAATAAAGCCCGTGAAGCACGTAGTTCACATCCTTGCACCGAATCTTGCTAAAATATTTCTTCAATGTATAATGGCTGCTGCTTTCACAGAAGGGATGCAAGTTGCAAGAGTAACTGTTTTTTATAAAAAGGAGGAGATAAATAGTCTGACTAATTATAGGCCAGTTTCTATTCTGCCTGTTTTATTCAAAAGTATTTGAAAAAAAAAATTACATTCAAGACTTTCAAACTTTATCGATAAACGTAACTTGTTAACCCGATACCAATTTGGCTTCCATAAAAAAACAAATCTACTGAAATAGCACTACCTGAACAAAAACTATACATACTTACACAGTTTGAAAGCAAAGCTATTGTTGTCGGTATATTTGTGGATTATTCGAAAGCTTTCGATTTGGTAAATCACAATACATTGCTAAAAAAGCTTGCATGCTACGGTATTCGGGGACAGGTGTTGTTGCTTTTGAAGTCGTACTTATATCATCCAAAGCAGGTCGTTCAAATAAATAATATGTGCTCCTAAGTTCAACCCGTCCTTTGTGATCTGCCTCAGGGTAATTGTGAACATGAACCCTATTGCCAAATTTATTATATACGCGGATGGCACAAGTATTTTCTTTTCTGGTAATGACATTCACAAACTTGTAGATAAAGGTAATTTTACGATGAAAGCAATAGAAAAGTGGTTAGTTTCTAATGCCATGCAGATAAAGGAATTATAAAAGAGTCATATTCAGATAAAAAATAGCAGGCCAGTTCCAGTACATAAATATATCATCCTAAATTTATGTCTGCAGAAATTGTTGAACATTTTAAGTGTCTTGGTGTTGTATTTTCTTCCTCTATGTCGTAGGATAACCACATAAACCATATAGTAACTAGAAAAGCTCAGATCACAGACATTATTGGAGGTATTAACTACCTTCTTTCCACAAAAATAAAGTTACTCCTTTATAATTCGCTCTTTTATTCTCATCTAAACTATAGTCAATTGGTATGGGGAACAACAACATTTTCAAACTTGCAACTTGTTCATATATTACCAAAAAAAATGTCTTCGGCATATTTACAATGGGCCTTATGGAGCGCCAAGTATTAACTTGTTCCACCGCTCCCACGTGATTAGAGCATTCAACTTGTATGGATATCAATTAAGTTCGAGATATAAATTAGAAACACAAAACAATAGTACTAACTTACGTGATATGGCTCATCTTCTAATAAAGAACGTAACTAGTTATTCAACAAGACATAGAGAAAATTGGGTAGTACGTACACCTCGTTCGAACTATTGAAAAGATTGCCTAAGTTTCATACTACCGTCTTTATTAAATAGACATCATCTTGTGCATTTTTATTTATTTTCCTGTAAGTACACTGAACTCCGTAGAACATATGTAAACCGAGAGAGTATGATTTTTCACGATTTTTGTTTGTTTAAATGCGTGCGCTCTAAACATTTATGATCACAATGATTTTTTGGGGTGTGTGTGTTATTGCAATGTATTGTTAAGATTACCTTTCTTCCCGCCTTTTTTGGGTTTTTTTTTTCTTCTGTGAATACTTTAGCACAATGCTGCTGAGCTGCCAATATTAAGGGTCTATGGACTCGTCAAGCTGCAATGTTGTAGCTGTTTTTCTGCAGCTCCTTCATCTTCGTTGTACTAGGTGAAAATAAACTGATTTGATTTGATTTGGGATAAATCTCCTAACGGGCTTTTTCGCCCTTAAAGGAGTGAAATATTTTAGTGTGCACATGCTTTGCAACAAATGGCTTTGCGTTTAATGTGCTGTTTCAACATGTTTGCGCAAAGGCTCAAATATATTGAGGCCGATATTTTCACCTAAAGGTTTTTTTTTATTGTGGTTTAAATCTACGCGTATCAACATGTCCTGCGCGTCATCTTAAAGTGCAGCAGAGCCTGCGATCGCAAGGTTATCGTTTTTTTTTTTTTTGTAGGTGCAGTAATCACCCCAGCATTCCCTCAGCCAACCAACACTTACCGCCCATTCACACTGGAAGCGGATCCGTGTTCGCAAAGCGGTTGTGAACACGGTTGTATAAAGATCCAGTACAATGGACCTTTCCCGAGAAGCGTTCTGCGCACGCGCGAGCGCCCTATGCCAAGCGGTGGAAGTCGGCACGAAAAATCGAGGAAATTCGGAATGAGGCTGTAGATCGACGAGTGGAACACGTAATTGCAGCATATATATAATTGTGTTGCACAAAAAAAGAAAGTGGACGGAAAGAAAAACACGACGTTTGGGTGGACGCTACGGATTTCCCTCTTTAAAGTCGCGTTGGGCACGCGACGCAGCTCAGAGAGCGAAGCAACTGGCAGCGTAGCTCCCAGTATCGATTGGTAGCGCAGGTAGGTCACTTCCTCGATTTTTAGTTCATGCAGCCACCGCCTGGTGCCGTCGGTATGTGGAAAAGGTCCATTGCACGCGCACTCGATGACATGAAGTGCGCGTGCAATTGTACAGGATTTTTATACAACCGCGTTCGCAACCGCTTTGCGAACGCGGATCCGCTTCCAGTGTGAATGAGGGGTTAGAATTTTGATATTGTTACAGCAGCCTTCGCAGCAACCAGAAGGTAATGTGGAATACATAAAACATTATTGATAGCGAAAAACATCCGCTTGTTTCAACTGCACCCTGCAAACATTAATTGCCCTAACCATATTAGAGGCTCGTCTCTGCGGGTTTCGTAGGCGCTAAGGTCGTGTTTCTTACTAAGGTTTAGGCCATGGGATAAGCTCCTGAAAGTTATTATGCGATTAAAAAATTCTCGGTCGCGTGTTAGAAACGTTTGATGCTGTCTCTGACACTAGACAATTCTCTATTAGCATATTTTCTTCTGAATAAATAATATTTTTTTATATTAAACATATTAATTGTTTTATAAAATAGACAATATCAGGCCACCTTATTTTCCCTATCATAATGTCATGATTCAACACGGTCGCAAAGTTGATTATAAACTAACTTTAAGCCTTCCTTTCAGCGGTGCTGGTTTGGTACTTGTGAAGACATTACTAACAAAACACAAAGCGACCTTTGTGCCGGGTAAAAAGAGCCTATATGAACCGAACATATTGCCGCGCCCAGGGCTGAGAAAGCAACGCTCGGTCACGGACCTCCAGAAAGTTCTCGTTTATTCATGTACCGCATGTAACTTCTATCATTTATTCCTGCTTTTGTTTTCTAGAAAGTGCGTGTTCATTCTCGCCCCGATCACGCGACGCTCGAGCCGCTTTCGCCGAATCTTCGAGATAGCGACGCACTCTAGATAAGAGGCCGCCCGCGACCTTGTCGAGTCAGTCTCGCCCCAGCGCTCGATTCTGCTGACACGCCGACTTCGACGCCCGCGACGCTCTGCTTTCTTCTGTTTCCTTCTTTATTTTTGGCACAAGTTCGCCACATTAAACGTTCGTTTATTTCTGTTTATTTCTTGTTTATTGGTCACGACTCACCACCCGTGACAATATAGCCAATCGACCTTCATGTTCTTGCTTTTCAAAATATGCTTGCCTTCAATGAAAAATATCTAAAGGCTATTTGCTTCGTAAGCTTTTTTTTTTTTTGTTTTTGAACAATAAAATGGTGATTGAAATGGAACTTGGATGTAACGTTTGTCGTCGTTTTACTGGAAACTGACGGCCGGATATTGATTATTCGTTGCCACGATTCACAAAGAATTTAATTATCTATATCACAAGCTGCAACTCAGCTTTTTTTCTATACGCAACAAATCCAGGAACTAATTTTATACCTTTTAAAACAAGAGGGACTGTGGCAGCACAAATTTAACTTGCCATCTTGCAAATCGCAACTACTCCATTTGTGGCATGTCGTTCGCTCCGTGCTTACAAAATTGAACATATTATGATTCTCCAAATCAATGTGCGTTTAATATTAAATTCTATAAGCAACTTTCTGATTATATCAAAACTTCATTAGATTTTCGAGAACTTATATATATTTTTTTTTGCTAAGAAGTTATACTGACTACACCATTAAATACAAGATATGATATTGCTAATTCTAAATCTGTTCAGCTTCAAAACTGTAGGCATCTTCGCAATGCATATTTTTAAAGGACACATGCCAAAAAAAAAAAAACGTTTTTTCTTATACAGCCTAGATTAAAAAAGATTGTTATAAAACGAATTTACAACGAAGAAACAAAATTTTAGAGCTATTTTTACGGCGCAAGACGAATTTGTAGTTGGCGCACGCGGGGACCGCCGTGGGTCACGTGGTACACCTGTGCGCCGTCGCGCGGCACCGCTGCCGCACGCTGGGCGTGGTGCGCCCAACGTTCTGGTGCGCCGCCGTTTCAACGCGTTTCTTTACGCCGTCGTCGCCGCCGCCGCACAAGTTGGTCTGCTCCGCGGCGCCGACGCCGTCATCTGACCGCCGCACAGGTCTATCACGTCTGCTAGCGCTTTTTCAGAAGCTTCCTTTGGGCTCTAAAAGTTACTTATTAATCCTAGTTTTTTGTTGCACTTGAAACAAAGAGAAATAAGTAACTTTTAGAGACCATAGGAAGCTCCCGAAAGAGTGCAAGTACCACTTGACCAATAGCGACCAGTCACATGACAAATAGCGGACACTTTTTCGCGGCGCCCGTGGGCGCCAACTACAAATTCGTATAGTGCCCTATATATGGCTCTAAAAAATTTCGCTGTAAATTCGTTTTATGACTTCCTTTTCCCAACTAGGCTGTATAAAAAAAGTCCTTTGCGTGTGTCCTTCAAGGCCAACAAAGTGACAAGGGCGAAAAAAAAAAGAAAGATGTATTCTTTATCTGCAAGTGTTTTGTTTTAAAGTATTGCGTCGTAGGTGGAACAGGCACATAAAATGTTTGTGCGCAAATCCCATGCTTAGACGTCTAGGCTTGAAGTCGCTGTGCAATGATGTGCGGGCCCTACTCAAATAAATGCAAAAGCCATCACTTCTCAAAAAAAAAAAAGCATTTTTTAATTCTGGCGTGCCTGGGTTTATCATATTTTTGTGTTCAGCATATGGCCATTCCCGGTGCACCTCAACTTTTATACAGTATTTCAGATTGCTTACGCTGTGATGTGCTCAATATGAACAGAAAGCCGAGGTTGTGTTCTGTTCTTAGTGACCCCAGCGAGCACTGTGCTGTAGCAAGGACTCTTTACACCAGTGGTTGCGAACTTATTTTTAAGAAATGTTATTCCTTACATTCAGTTATTTCCATCAGCGAACGAAATTAGGGCATCCACAAAAACCTAAAAAAAAGGACTGAATTTTTTAATAGTCAGGCCGCGTAAAACGCATTCGCGTTTTACGCAGCCTGACTTCGAAACTGAATGCGAGATGAGCCACGGAAGCTCCTTCCAAGATGATTCGAAGAGGAGCGACATACTCACGACGGGCACACCAAATTCGTTCTTAGTGAGAATCCATTCCACTCCACTATTTGCATCAGACAGCGCGCTCACAGCTTTAAATCCTCCACTAGCGGTGTGGGTATCTCGCGTCCAAGAGAACGCACGTACATCGCGCCGTCCGCGTTGCCGCGTAGTCGCCTGGTGCCGAGGAAGAGGGGCTCCCGCCGGCGCACCAAGATATTGCGTTCATCGAGACAGCAGAAAAAAAGCTGTCGCGACGGGCGCCTCACATGCTTGCCGCAATAGATACCTAGTCAAATATTTGAGAACCCCATCAATCGCTATCGGAATGCAAACACTATCTAGTAAAACTTACTAATTGCAAATTTTATTACTTCGTTTTTGCATTGCAATAATGAAATCCGATACTCTGCTGCGTCTCTGTCCGCGCACAGTTTTCCCTTCGGGTATATTTATCGAAACAAAAAAACGATCGTATGAAATATAAAAAATAATTTGTATGGGGTCTACTAAAAGTGCGAACATTTATATTAACAGTTAGGAATCATGTCCTCCTGCATGATTTACTTTGTTTGATGTACATTGATTTCACGTAGACAATTGGCACGAAGAATTTGTTATGGTGATTTCCGCTCGCAGATCTCGAGCGCTCCAAAAGCGCTCCATTTGGAGCGCGCATATTCCGCTCGCTGATCTGGCTCGAGCTGGCCATCTTCCGCTCGTAGATCTCTGGCAACGCTCGCTCGACGCAGCTCCTCAAACCCCGCCGAACTTGCTCTGCGGGATTTCACAGATCGTTCCGGAAGTTGACAGAGCAGCCCACGTGATTTCCTTCTAAATCGGCAGTGCGCATGCGCGGCGAGGTTGGAGAGGTCGCCGGGCTAGTCGGGCCGTCGGGCCGTCGGGCCACGTTGGGGTGGTCGAGTTGGATCTGTTCGGGTGCGTTGGTTGTTTACGCGGGATTGTGACGGCTCGAACGCGTCTACCTCGCGGAGATCTGGTATACAAAGCCGGGACTGTGGAGCGTAGTAAATCGTAAGCGCTGACATCTGTGATCGTGAAAAGAAGAACAAGAAAAAAAAAAAAAAAAAAAACGACAGAAAAGCCGGATGCAGACGCAAGGTTAGGCCTGTTCATTCTGCAGCCAATGACTGTTTACCTTTTTACACGGCATTGGGGGCATGCCACTGCATCCGGAATGGAACGCTCATGCCTATTCCTGCTCCAGGTACTACTGGGGATCCTCTTTGGTGAAGGCGTGGACGCTGGACCGCTACGCACGGACATCACTGGTCTAAGGCCCGCCTGGCGCGAGCAAACTACGGCGGATCGTATGCCACCAGACCTGGAGGATTTTCATCACTTCAGCTGGCAACATCGATCATCGACAGCGGACGCCACCGCCACCACAACTGGACTACAAAAGCGCGCCCACTTCGAGCTATCTTGGGCGCACGACACTGCGTCCGGAATGGAACGCTCATGCATATTCCTGCTCCAGGTACTACTGGGGACCCTCTTCGGCGAAGGCGTGGACACTGGACCGCCGCGTACGGACATCACCGGTCTAAGGCCCGCCTGGCGCGGGCAAACTACGTCGGAAAAACATCGTACGCCGCCAGACCTGGGGGATTTTTATCACTTCAGTTGGCAACATCGATCATCAACCACGGATGCCACCGCCACCACAGCTGGACTACAAAAGCGCGCCCACTTCGAGCTACCTTTGGGGCACGACACTGCATCCGGAATGGAACGTTCATGCATATTTCTCCTCTAGGTTAGTTATTTGGAGTTTGCTGCTTGCTATCGTTCCAGTGACTACTGTCTGTTAGCAGTGTCGTGCCCTGACCACTGGCTTGGACGTTCCCGGCGTGTTCGTTTTTGGTGTGAAGGCTTGTTGCCCGCTGGACTGAGGGGTATTATGTTGCTTATATGCGGCGACGTAGAGGCCAATCCGTGGCCGGGTGACCTGCCCGTTGTCTCCACTCTAAGCACTGACGTCATCTTGAAAACGGTACTTGCCACAGTTCAAAGGGTAGAGCAAGGTCAAATTAGTATGCTGTCACAAAGGAAAGAACTCAAAGAGAAGCAAAAGACGACGGACGAATGGATGCAGGAGCTGTATTCAAGGGTATTGGCGCTGGAAACAAAAACTGGTAACGTATTCGACGTTCAAAACGAAGGGGCTTCAAATGAGTCCTTTTCTCTAGTTCATGAAAAGCGCAGTGATATTGTGACCCGATGTGACGGCGCAGAAAACAGATTAATGGTTTTTCGGTTTTTCTGATGACTCCAACAGAACGTGGAGCACATCTGAACAAAAAATCGTGAACTTTTGCGCGGAGAGCCTCGGGATTACCATCGCAGCCGATAATATTGAACTCACCACCTAGAAAAGTTTGCTACTGGAAAAAACCGACCCATAATTGTCAAGTTTCTTCATTGTAAAGATAAAGAGCAAATACTATCTTCTGGGTTTGAACTAAAGAACACACCCTTTGCAGTAAGAGAAGACTTTTCCCTCGCTGTACGAATAGCAAGAGCTAAGCTACTCGCGTTTGCAAAAGAAAAAAAATGTTCCTTTTAAGCTACGTTTCGATATGCTTAAACTCGACAACACAACGTACGAGTACAATCATGACACTAACTGCATCACGGAAGTAAGATAGCAACACGGGAGCTT